AAACATGTTTAAAGAAAAGAAGAGCCAAGAAATCTTTCCCCTGCACTCAGTGTGGAAAGAGTTTTACAAACAAACAACATCGTGTTGATCACATGAGAGTTCATACTGGAGAGAAGCTATTCACTTGTGATCAGTGCGGGAAGAGTTTCACTGTTAAAAGTCACCTGAAGATACACATGAGGATCCATGCAGTGGAGAAACCAGACCACCGCAGTCTGAAATCACGGTAAGTAGCTCATCTTTATGTGCTGAGAAACAAAGTCTCTTCTGTGAAAATTACCCACAGCAGAATCTCTCCTCTCTACCTACAGCTGGTGTGGTGAGACGAGACTCTGCTATGATTGTAAAGTGCTTCGGGTGTACAGTAGTACATAATAAAGAGCTACATAACTTGATACTAAATTCACCCTCCTGTCGTGCACTTGGTGAATTGTTGTCATTGTTATAAAGTAATGTGTATGTGCACAATAGCACATAGAGTTTACTGTGTTCATCCTCCCTTGTGTTTTTCATCTAACAGTTGTCACATTTGACCTTGAAAAGAGGTCAAACCATCTACATAAATGGTAAACTGAAGCATTATGATAATCTGTTTATTATTTTTACCCAATCAATTCTGAGTTTTTGATCTAAAATCAGTGAATATCGCTAGGAATCCTGGCCCTGTGCACTGAATTTGCTATGGGGTCCCCTCAAAGTCATAACTCACTTGGATGCGTAGTGCCTAATCACAGATTATGTGAGTTAATTTCAAATACAAAGAGTTCTGTTGTTACAATCTAGCCCACTATGGGGTGAGCTGTAACACTAGCTGGGGATAGATGTAACAATGAGAGGCAATATGCTGAAAAAAAGTTTAAATTTGTTAGTTACTTTACATTGCTCATATTACTGTCATACAGTGAGAAATAAAAGTATTGTCTTTCAGTAGAGCAGTTTATACACTTTTATCATATATCCTGACTCAAATAATGTGTTTCTATCAGCAAACACTGAGAATAAAGTGAGATGATCTGCTGATGATCCTGAATGGCTTGTTGAATGAGTGTTGATCGTCTGAGACTCATCAGTATTAACAGAGCTGCTGAAAAGACTCTTTATTTCATGTCAATAGTTCCTGTTTTCTCCTCATTTATTATGCTGATGTCTTCAGATCTCCTGTGAATGGACACTTAAAGCTCATTTCATTGGTGTCAACAGACTTGAGAGTATTTGTTGTGTAGCATCTGGACCAATCAAACACACAATATATATTTTGTTCGCTATATTTAACAAATACTCTGTAACACCCCTCAGTTAACAAGACATATGAGGACCTATGGACCCTTCCCCCGAAATGCGTAACACCCCAGGAAGTCGAACAGGCCCCTGGTCCCCATGGCAACCACGACACCGCTGCTAGACCAGATCCATTTACGACCTAATGGCATGTTGAGAATTTCCCTCGCACTGCATTTTCCATAGGAAATCCACAGTGCACAGTATAAACTGATTCTTCTCTGATTAATTAATAGGAAAACCTTTCTTTGAATGAACACACATATCCTTCAGGTCATTGTGTATGTTGTTTTTGAGATTTTATACTGTTTTTTGCAAGCTTATAATGGAAACACTCATTCCTGTCATCTAACATATTGAAATAGGAATTATTATTAATAGGAAAACCTTTCTTTGAATGAACACACATATCCTTCAGGTCATTGTGTATGTTGTTTTTGAGATTTTATACTGTTTTTTGCAAGCTTATGATGGAAACACTCATTCCTGTCATCTAACATATTGAAATAGGAATTATTCAATTTCCCGGTCAAACACCACATATTCGAAGACTGAACCAAAAAGGTAAATTAGAGATTCCTATTAATGATCTGCTTTTAGACTCCATGCAGAAGAGGCATCAACGGAACGCAAAAAAGAAAGCAGAAATGGAGAAGAAGAGAAGAAGTGACCGAACAAGAGACGATGGACATGCTTTTAATGGCTAAGGAGCTTCTTCGGATAATTCGTCAACATGAACGTATAAATAAACGGTTGATGAAAAGGGTTAAACAATTTATTGAAGTTATTGAGTTTAATTTGAAAATGGAAACTTTACGAAGTGAGGTTGACTGTTTGAGGACTCAAAGAGCCAGCGCCACTTCGAAGAGTATAAACGGTTAAACTGACATCCTGTCAAAACCGAGAGCAGGTGTCACTATCTGGGTTAACAGTTAAAAAATGGAAAATGTTAAGGTGTGAAAACCTGCTTGTATATTTTTGCAAAGGTGTTGCTGCATTGTAGTAAAGTAGATGCATAGTTGTGGGTAGCATAAAAAGGTCAGACATCCTGTGTTAGTGAATTGGAGATAAACTTTGTTTGAACCTCTCCGCATATATTTTTGGAGATGTACGCACGTGTGTATGCTGTGCTTAGCGTGATGATGTAATAGAATTGCAACTCGCTGAAACAAGGGGTGTGACCAAGTGTTTCGTGTGTCTTGCACTTATCCAATGGAGTGTTTGAATAGATGCTTTGCAGGAGAGGAATTTTGTAACGCCCTCTCCTATATAATCAAGTGCTTTATGATTTTGCGGGGCCGAGAAACGGGTGAAGATTACACACTGTTATTTTCTTGAATTTTGCTTATGAGTTATTGTTTTTAATAAAGCGAAACCATTTGTATATGGTGATTCGATAAACTTTCTTTTAATCAGGTCTCTGAGTAATTTATTAAGGGTAACACATTATCTAAATTTAGTTCATAAATCTCCAGTGCGGACCTCATAGTGGTGAAAACCCTGCTGAGCCGGTCAGGACGTTTCGCCGTGGACCTTGGACCTCGCATCACACTTCCCATTAATGAGAGGTAAGGGCTGTATTTGCTTATGACAGCTACAGGTGACGGACAAAGTGTATATATATGAGGTTTATTGGTTCATTAAGTACGGAATTATACAACAATATATGTAACCCTACCATGTTTAGAATCTATGAATTAGTCTTCTGATGATATATAAGCAATATATTAGTGTCCTGAGAATCTTTAGTAATTTCGATTCAAGTTCCATATGCAAATTACCACGTTTCCACACAAAGAGTCATAAAAACTCCCCAGTATCTCAAAACTCCCACTTGGGATTCCGGCCTTTCTCATTGGACAAGCCCATCTTGAGAGGCGGGAATCTTCTCCGACCTTAAAGGCCCCACACCAGGGACCCTCCCAGAGTCGGTGGTTTGTTTGAATTCTGAGAAGATGAAGATGTGAGCAAATGCTCCAGGACACCTTAAGTACGTGCCAGGCTTCGGCCTTGACTTTTCCATTCATCATGATTCTATGACGCAAACTGGTTCTTTTTCATCAACCAACTTCAGCAAAGATCAACTTGAACCTTCAGATTGCATCAAACCTCTCTTTCAGACAGACGAGACGTGCAAGTATTCAAACTTAGTTTTATTAATTGATACATTAAGTATCATAACGCTCCTTTTTACAAAGGTACGTTTGAACTAAGAATCTGATGTTTCCTTCAGGCTGTAAATCTGCTGAATATGCAAATGCTTCCATAACTTTAATCTTATTTTCTCTCCTCTTTACTGCGTTAAGCTTTAACCCTTTCCTATACCAACTGTATGTGTGTGTGTGTGTGTTTGGGTATGTTAGACCAGTTTAAGTGTTTATGTAGTATGTTGGACTAGTTTAAGTGTTTATGTAGTTAATAAAGCTTTACTTGTTTCACACCTGACGTTGTTCATTGTTTGCTCATAACTGGAGTCACTTAATCATGCAGATTTATGCTACAAGCTCTGTGTAGAGTTGTACAGTAAGAAAGTTATTTCCCTTAACCAGGAAATTAACGTTCTTAGAATTGACAAGACAGTTGACCCTGAAAGGTCAAGTAAATATCTACAGCGGATCTAAATATTTATAATTAATTATAACTAGTTATGATTAATTATTCATATTTCCCCATGAGCTGATTCGCTACAGTTGGTTATAAATCTGTACATTTATTTCTGTGTTTATGCTTTCAACTGTATTTCTTACCATTATTTATATTTGAAAGAAATACATTTTTTATATTCTGTTATCAGTTAGTAAAAAAACAAATTGATATATATATTTTTTTCTTTTGGAAGATCAGCTCCTCCCACATCAATCACATCACCAGTGAAGCTCCGCCCACTGCAACACATCATCAGTGAAGCTCCTCCCACAGTAATTCAGCAATAAATGCTGGAATATTCCCATCAGTTCACAAGTGAAGATGAGCATCTAATCATCAGGAAGAGCTGAAATCTGTAAAGACTGAGTTTATTAAAGAGGACAGAGAGCAGATGAGAGATCCAGAACCCTGCAGAATCAAACACACTGAAGATACTGAAGAACTAACAGGTTGGTGTTTATTCTTCATTTCTCATTCATTCATAATGTTTTTTTTTTTTGCTTTCAACACTGTTATGTTTGTTATTTCAGGGTTGTAAATTAAACATAATTTAAGCAAAATCTGATTTATAGTTACTAAAAAGTGCATGCATTCTATATGTTATGACCCCAATTGAAAATGAATGGGAAATGCAAAAAAAATTCATTTGTAAAAAAAATAAAAAAAATAAATAAAATCCAGCTTAAATCTGAAAATTTCCTCACAGAAATGAAGGCCTGGTACTAGAGCACAAATGCAATGTAGAAAAGACATGCTCACTCACATACGTACACACGCACACACTTTCTCTCTTACACACACCCACCATTCATATCTGCTTATTACTGTTGTTTTTTGTTTTCTTTTGTTTTTGTTTTTGTTTTTTGGTGTTGATTTAATTTACATTTAAGTAAAATAAAATTGTTTTGATTTTTACTTTTAAGATTGAAATAAATATGTGCCTGCAATCAAGTTGTAGTCACAAGTTGTTCATTGTTTGCTCATAACTGGAGTCACTTAATCATGCAGATTTATGCTACAAGCTCTGTGTAGAGTTGTACAGTAAGAAAGTTATTTCCCTTAACCAGGAAATTAACGTTCTTAGAATTGACAAGACAGTTGACCCTGAAAGGTCAAGTAAATATCTACAGCGGATCTAAATATTTATAATTAATTATAACTAGTTATGATTAATTATTCATATTTCCCCATGAGCTGATTCGCTACAGTTGGTTATAAATCTGTACATTTATTTCTGTGTTTATGCTTTCAACTGTATTTCTTACCATTATTTATATTTGAAAGAAATACATTTTTTATATTCTGTTATCAGTTAGTAAAAAAACAAATTGATATATATATTTTTTTCTTTTGGAAGATCAGCTCCTCCCACATCAATCACATCACCAGTGAAGCTCCGCCCACTGCAACACATCATCAGTGAAGCTCCTCCCACAGTAATTCAGCAATAAATGCTGGAATATTCCCATCAGTTCACAAGTGAAGATGAGCATCTAATCATCAGGAAGAGCTGAAATCTGTAAAGACTGAGTTTATTAAAGAGGACAGAGAGCAGATGAGAGATCCAGAACCCTGCAGAATCAAACACACTGAAGATACTGAAGAACTAACAGGTTGGTGTTTATTCTTCATTTCTCATTCATTCATAATGTTTTTTTTTTTTGCTTTCAACACTGTTATGTTTGTTATTTCAGGGTTGTAAATTAAACATAATTTAAGCAAAATCTGATTTATAGTTACTAAAAAGTGCATGCATTCTATATGTTATGACCCCAATTGAAAATGAATGGGAAATGCAAAAAAAATTCATTTGTAAAAAAAATTAAAAAAATAAAATCCAGCTTAAATCTGAAAATTTCCTCACAGAAATGAAGGCCTGGTACTAGAGCACAAATGCAATGTAGAAAAGACATGCTCACTCACATACGTACACACGCACACACTTTCTCTCTTACACACACCCACCATTCATATCTGCTTATTACTGTTGTTTTTTGTTTTCGGTTGTAAATTAAACATAATTTAAGCAAAATCTGATTTATAGTTACTAAAAAGTGCATGCATTCTATATGTTATGACCCCAATTGAAAATGAATGGGAAATGCAAAAAAAATTCATTTGTAAAAAAAATTAAAAAAATAAAATCCAGCTTAAATCTGAAAATTTCCTCACAGAAATGAAGGCCTGGTACTAGAGCACAAATGCAATGTAGAAAAGACATGCTCACTCACATACGTACACACACACCCACCATTCATATCTGCTTATTACTGTTGTTTTTTGTTTTCTTTTGTTTTTGTTTTTGTTTTTTGGTGTTGATTTAATTTACATTTAAGTAAAATAAAATTGTTTTGATTTTTACTTTTAAGATTGAAATAAATATGTGCCTGCAATCAAGTTGTAGTCACAACTTGTGTGGCATTTCTGCAAATTTATGTGGCATTATCGCAAAAGCGGGCACTTCAAAATACATCAAACAACAAAAATAAAAATTCTAACCTTTGAGAAAAATACTGTTTTTTTTATGTATTTTATAATGTTTCAATATATATATTTACAAAATATATATCAGAAAAGTTGTGGGAGAAGCAGTTGGCCACTTCCAGAAAAAATTATTGATCTCTATGGGCCTCTGCTGGATATATATACGGTCATTATCAGAATCAGAATCAGAATGAGCTTTATTGCCAGGTATGTTTACACATACGAGTAACTTGTTTTCGTGACAGAAGCTTCCACAGTGTAACAGAATGACAGTGACAGGACAAAAAACACAGATAATAAAAAATAAATAAAAATAGAACAAGTCAGGAAAAATATATAAATTGACAGTTGTATGTGCAGGTATATTACAATAGACAGTTTTTGTATGTACAGGTACTGTATATTATGTGCAAATTGAGGTGTAGACTGAGTATGAGTGTTAGATAAATAAGTGTATGAGTGAATAAATAGTGTGTGTTCCACAGTTATTATTAAGTGTTCATGAGACGTGAGACGTGTGGATCCATCTGCAAGCTTTTATTTAAAATACGTGGTCATAACAGGCAGGGTCGAACAATGGCAAACAGGTATATGGCGGGAAAACATAAGAATTGTTCTAAGGGCTAGCGTAGGTCACGATCGGCAGACAGAATCACAGGGGCAAGACTAGAGGGATAAATCCAGGAAAACCGAGAAAAAAGGCAAAGCAAAACAAGGAAACACGGGCAGGAAAACAGAAACTAGGAATAATAACCGGCTAAGCATTACTCGGCAGAGAATGGTTGTTTGAGTGAGTGTTATATAGTGAGTGAGTGATATGAAACAGCTGTGTGCAATCAGTTGGGTGTGCAATCAGTGCAATGAATGATGGGATATGTAGTCCGGGGTGCTATGCAACAGTGTGTAGTGCGAGAGTCAATGAAAATGGAAAGGGTGACCTCTGGTGGTGATTGAACTGAAGTCCATGGACAGGATTCGTGACACTAATGGTGTAGTTGAGGAATTGTGTGGTAAATAGGTACAAAAGTACTTCATATCTCCCAAAATACAGCATTAATGTATAGATGAGAAGTAAACAAAAAAAAGATATTATAATTAAAATAGAATATTATTTGTATGATTAAAAATGTATATATTTTTTACAATTACTCTATCAATTTCAAAGACCAGATTTGTAAACAGGAAATGAGGGACATTTGAGGGTTAAGGAAATGTTATGAAAGGCTTTGGACGATTATTCCATACACTCAGCATTATGAATCTTTCCAATGCCAGATATTTGGGGTGGATCAATGTGACAAAAATTTGATTTTGTTTTAAACAAATAAAAAATATATAATAGGGCTGCACATTTTGGCCCTAAATTTAGTGCTTAATATATGAATATGTCCAGCAATAATTATGTATATGTATAATTATGTAATAACTTTCATTATTACAAATATAAAACAGTTTAAAAATGACAAAATTATAATAATAACTATATTATTTTTCATTTGACAAAAATATATTATTTTACATTACTTATGACTATAAATCATTAGAAAGGTTTATAGATTAATTATAAAATATTATATTATTATGGCAAAAGCCTGCGACATGTATTTCTCGTCAGGAGGTATGCAAAATCTGCAGTGGAGTCATTCAGGTTCCTGGGCACCACAATCTCTCAGCGATGCTGTTGTGGTCTGCAAACACTGCTCACCCCTGGTGGAGTTTATGATTATTAAGTGCCGGCCGTTCTATCTACCGAGGGAATATACAGCCATACTGCTCGTTGCTGTATACATCCCTCCCAGCTCCAACAACAGCAACAGGAGCGAGGCACTAAATGAACTGTACCAGCACATCAGTGAGCAGCAGACAGCCCACCCTGATGCTTTTCTCATCTTGGCTGGGGATTTCAACCACGCAGACTTAAA